AAAAAAAAAAAACATTCTTCTAACAATGAGTCAGCAACACTCGTGTTATTCAATCAGTTCTAAAAATTCTCAACTGCAGCTCAACCAAATTTGATGCAACGGAAATAAAGCACACAAAAAACCTGCTACTTCCACCGTAGTCATAGCGGTGCAACTCAGATTCTTCTGTGAGTGTGCCACGCTTGGCAAGCTTAAAAACAAAAATGGATGCGTTTTGTAACAGAAAAATCCTGGTCCCAGTACAGAGATATCTTAGGTGGAAGGGGTTAATTTTGCCTCGAACTCCTCAAACCTGTCATCATCCTCACCTCTGCTCTTGTTGATCTGCCCTGAAGGTTCCGCCTCGGGGACTATTCCCACCACTGTCCTGTCTTACTCGGACTACATCTCCCGTCCGGAGGAGCACAGCAGCCTCCTTCGTTTTGACAAGGGTGAGAGGGAGAAGCAGTGTCGCGTGGTGATTATTGACGACTCGCTGTACGAGGGCGAGGAGAGCTTCAATGTCACTCTGTCGCTGCCTGTCGGGGGACGTCTGGGAATGCACTACCCCACCGCCAAAGTCAGCATCTTGGAAGATATGGATGACGGTGAGCCACGCACTCAGATGATATACTATCTATCTTTGCATCCGTTAGTCAGGAGATAATTGGCTGTTTGTTCCTGCGCTTCCTCACTTGCCTCTATGTTTCTATTTCCAGTGATCTTTTCCGCAAGTTCTAATATCTTTACAGAGAAAATTCAAAAATCAGATTCCGGTTAAACAGTTTGTGAATCACAGAGGTTGCACAAGGTCTCAGTCGAGTGATTGAAAGGATTTAATTTATTTCTGCGTGGCTTCGACGTTAACCAGCATATGCTTATTTGCACTCATTCAGGCACGTTTAAGCGCAGTGTGTGGGAGTCAGTTCACAGTGCTAGAATCTCTGGCATTTTTTAAATTGTCCTCAGAGCTGTTATATCACAGAATTTCTCTTAATTAAGCTTGTTTACAATCTTTCTGGGTGTTGAAGCATGGCAGGATTAGAGCTCTGGAAACACCCTGACATAGACCTTCCACTGGCAGCACATGGATTTAATCAATCTCCTTGTCTTGCTGATATTTTGATCGCTTTTAATTGCAGTCACATCGAGGGTCCAGTGGGACTGCATGATCGCATGTCCCCTGTCAGCTTTCATCCAGTTCCACCATCATATGCACAATGCAGATTGAATGTTCTAAAAGGCAGCATAATGTGCAGAAGATTTATCTGGGGACCGACAAGCCTGCTGGGAAATACCTATTCCAATCTACAGGCTTTCTTCACCATCTCCCTACTCTGCATTGATTTACTTTATAGACCTCACAGAGACAGATTGATGCCTCCGCTCAAGGTTTTTTCGGCTAAATGCCGTAATATAGATCGTTACAATAAAAGTCGCGCTTTTTTGTCTTTGCTTGTAGAGATGTGTGAGCATCGGTTTAATACATTTGGGTCAAATAGCAGCAATGCATCAAAGGGTTTGGCTTTTATTTTCGTCAAGGCCATAAAGACAGTCTCAAGGAAGGATTTTTTTTTTTTTTGTCCTCGTGCATACTGTGGCTCTCATTGTGCCGCCTTGAAAGCTCACCCACCCGTTTGGCTTTTAACTAGACAAATGCAAACTGTCAGACTTAAAGCACTGCAGTGACACACAATATTTTAGGATAAAGAAGATGCATTAACAAATAAATGCATGTTGTATGTGTTTAAACAGAGTGTAAATGACTTTTTTTTCCCCCATTGTGTGTCTGAGATGCTCCACACGTATGAACACAAATTCTATTTTAGTGTTCTCTTACCTTGATCAGTAAAAAAATGACCTATTTATTCTTCATATTCTCTAGCTGGAAATGAGTGCCTGCCGTATAAAATAACTATACAGGAAAAGAAAATGTTCCTTGTGCGCTCTTCACCAGAGCAAGGAGCTGTGTTAGATTTAAAGCCTTTATTTAGCTGGGCGTATTGGTTAAAACGCTCACCAGTTCTGACCTTGCAGTAAAAGCAGATTACATTTTTAAACAGAAAATGCATCACATAGCCAGATAGCCAACTGCAGAAGGAGGTCATCAATACAAGTTTAAGCCTAAAAACCTGTGTGGTTTTTTTGTTGTTGTTGTTGTTGTTGGTTTCTATCCAGGTTATGATTAAATCTTAAAAAAGATGAAGTCTTATTTCACAGACTGCCTTCCCTTTAGAATACTCTCCGTCTTCCTTCTCAGTCGCTCTTTCATTCTTTCATGAACTGTTTGTGTCAGGAAGAATAGTGTCAGAGAGGACTCATCACGCTATTAACAAAGTGCAGACTGGGAAAAATAAAACAATGACGACTTACAACTGAGAGCTCATTTAGGGATACAAACAATTGTGCCAAATTGACTATGTGCACGCGTGCGGAGGCATCTGGGGGCTAGTTAACAAGAAGCATGACACACTGTCTGATTGTTAGTAAATTGTCAGAAGACTTCAGTCTTAGTGCCGAGTTCAAAGGAATGGAAATGTGTTTGTGAAAGCCCAGCTCCAGTGAGAGATGATGTGTCATTTTTAGCCTCCCAGAGGATAATACTGCGTCTGACAGTGCTCTAATACCTGCTCCCAGGCAGTCAAACTACAGCCTCCTTCTCTTTAGCGCGAGCTCAAATCACCAAGGAAAATAGCGAAACGAGATGTACAACGGCGCGTGTTTACTTGTGTACGCAAGGTCGTCTGCACGCGACTGCCTATGCCCGCGCCCGGTTAGACCTTAAATTCGGCATCAAAGGTAAAATCGTGAGAGAATTACTTGAGAAACTCTTAACTGTGACTGCTAGTGCTCTCTCTAGCCCCATTTTTCCTTCCCCCAGGTCAAAGTCAAGTTCAGTCTGCTGCTCTCCTTCCATCTATTTCTCTACTACCAACTCTTTCTCTCTTCTCTCTCTCTCTCACGCACTTTCTCTCACTTCAGCTAAAAAAAAAAAAAAAAGGCCAAGGGATGTCTGCTCGATTTAGTACTTTATCAGATTAAACTCTACAGTACCTGTCTCCCTGAGTGTTGTGCTCTGCATGGCTGCACACTTTGACTCAAAGTGAGTGTTGTCATCTCCTTGTACCCTGCCAAGGAGAGAGGACACTCAGGGTTTTCGGTTGGGTGCATATGGCCACAGCTGAGTTTGTAGAATTGTAGATTAGCTCAGAGTATTTCTTGGAAGCCCAGTTCTTCATTTCAATATTAGGGGCAGCCTTACTGCTGGTCACACTGATGCCGATGCATTGGTGGCTAGTTTTTAACGGCTTTGCTGGGGGGCGAAGAAGTCAAGTTATTTTCCACTTCAGGAGGTGGATTGCAGGTTGTATTTAAAACAGGAGAGATGTTGGTTCTCTTGTTGTCAATATAAATATACCAACATTTTACCATTATGCATATGTGCCATTTTCCACCACATATCTGAGTAGTTTCTTGTCTCCCATTTTCTTTATTCTCTTCCTAAATTTTGCCTTCTGTTACATGAGACTTATTCACAAAAAAAAAGAAAGGTAAAAGCAGAAATTGTCGACAATCTTGCAACAAGCACAAAAAGCCAAGAAGCAAATTAACCAATAAAAGATTCCCAATCTCACTGCATCTTAGATGAATAGTTTATGAGCGATCCACAATCCATTTAAAGAGTTGTTAAAGCTCCTCTTTATTTATTGATGTCTTAAAAGTAGCTCTACACTATTGCTCTCTTCAGAATGTGCAGATCTATAAAGTCCCTGCCTCCTTTCTCCATCCACACCTCCCCGCTCGCTGCACCTGGAGCACACCAGCTCACCTACGACTCTACTCAAACACTGTGAAACTGGAGTACTATGGCAGAATATCAACCATACATATTCCAACTAGGGCCGTTCAGGACCGCTATAAAGCCTCTCTGAATCTGTGTTTTTGCCATCAGGAGGCTGTAGCTTTAAGGTGGAAATGTTAAAACCATGGCAATGACTGCTTATTTCGCTCATGATATGCATTCCAGCATATAAAAAAAAAAAAGATATTTGAAGAGGTAAAACCGCTCAGAATAAAGAAGTAGAGAAATGTCAGAAAAACACCCAACCGTTCCATATTCCCTTTGTGAATTTGAACCCCAAGCGCTAATGTGGAGTTTATAACATGAAGCAAAGCGCCTTGGGGTCCAAAGCAGCATTTACAGGCAGATTTTTTAACATCCTATCAGCTAGCCTTCCTTCCCAAAGCAGGGGGGCCCTTCTTGAAAAGGACAGCTGAGAATGCGCTATAAACTGTATTTAAAGGTGCAGAGACACACAAATGGCTACAGACGCCCACACAGTTGTAATCATCACAATTTGGCTTTACACCTTCTCCAGCCTTCGCACACACTTCGGAGTGCTAAACCGCAGGCGTGGCCCCGCGGGGGAGAGGAGAGGATGCAGTTCTCATTCATCAGTCATCACCCGACTCCCTCTCGCGGTGTCGAGTTGAAGACATGTGTGAATGCAGACATGTATATTAGCATTCAAGCAGAATCTCCCAGTACAAAAGGAATGCTTGCCAGATTGCTTACATATAGTGCTTACAGATGTGCTACATGTTGTTGTCGAGGCATGCAGTAGCATATATATTTTTTAAAAAAAACACAAAAAAACACTTACAAGCCCCCACCTTGTTCACCCAGTGTAATGGTCAGAGGTTTCTCTATCCATGCCACCTACGCTATCTGTGGTGTTCCTTTCACTCTGCCATTGTGCAAATACACAAATTCTATTTGCATTACAAACCTGCGCTACATCTGTTAGGCGAAACCTGGTGTGTAGGAGGAGCAGGTAAAAGAGAAAGACAGATGCACCGAGGAAACAAGTCTTTAGATGGAGAGAGAGAGAGAGGGCACAGGCTGCACTTGATGTGTAACGATACTCGCAGGAAATTGCTGCCCTGAGCTGCCACTTATTATGCCAAGTTGAGAGTCAAAATGTAATGGCAGTAAATTTTTCTCAGTCCCTCAGTTATGTACGCTATGCTAAGCTTTTGTCTTCTGGCCCAGATATAAGGTATATAAATAACATATGAAAGTTCATCTATCAGTAAAGCAAGATTCAGGAAATAATATCTTTGGACTGTTGCGTGTTTGATCGTGACACAGACACAAAAAAAGATAATACGCGTACTATATTTGGATTATATGACAGAATATAAGAAACAAACCCGAGTGAGAATGAGTAGCGGCTTAAAAATGGAGACAGAAGTACTTTTATTCTGTCAGGATTTTTTTCTTTTTGACTTGAGGAAGGGGCAGGAGGGGGGCTTGCGAGAGATGAAGCTGTCAAATACACACTGGACTGCCTCCACTTTGCTGCCTCAGGAAACAATGCCAGTTCAAACAAGCCTTTGAGCAGTCTGGGGGGCCGCTTTCTCTCTGTCTCACTATCTCACTACTCCACATTCAGAGAAAAACACACACATGAAAAGAAAAGCCTTGTTTTCAGTGCTAACTGCATCCGTATTTGTTAAAAGTACTTAATTCCTCTGTCAGAAGAAACAATGGCAATTAACCGTGAGGTCGGGTGAGAGGGCAGGAAAGGTCGAAAGGTCAAGCTTCCCTGCGGTTTAACTTCAGACTAATGGGCTGTCGCTTTTTGACCTCTGTGTCCGGCTGCTGGCTTTACAAATGAATCCTGCCAGACTGTGGGTGGCTGCTGACAAGTCCAGGTTACCACAGGTGCACTCAAAGCGAAAAGATGACATTCACGCTATTGAAAAAGTAAAAGAACGAAGCAGAAATTTTGCTACTCCAGTAGGTCTTATCATGTCGAATGCCATTAAACAGAATTTTGAGTGTAGAGTTTGAGTTTTTAGAGCAACTTAAAGGAGGAAGTAAAGGCCAAATGAGCACTGATCTAAAAGGACCCCAGAGTATTTGATATGTCTGAAAATTAACAGCAGGATGTCAGACGCTATGAAACTGCATCAGCAAACAGATTCATGAGCAGGGACCTCAAGCTGAAACACTCGATAAGTTCTGAAATTATTATTGTGCACAGTAAACAAGATTTGCAATTCCTGCAACTTGTTTATTTTTTGTTTTTCTTTTCTTCTCCAGCTCCAGTGTTTTACTTTGGAGAGGTGGAGTATCATGTGGATGAGAGTGATGGGTATGTGGAGGTCAAAGTGTGGAGGACGGGAACCGATCTGTCCAAGACTGGGACCGTCACCGTCCGCTCTCGCAAAGCGGAGCCTGTCTCTGCAGAAGGTAAGCTCCCATCGCTTCTGGCTGATTAGAAATCATAGAATTTAGCATTAATTATCACACCTTTTTACTCTTCATGCTGCTTTCTGTCCTTCTTCCAGCTGGTATCGACTACGTGGGCATCAGTCATAACCTGGACTTTGCCCCTGGTGTCAGCATGCAGACGTTCAGGGTCACCATTCTGGATGACCTGGGGCAGCCGGAGCTGGAAGGGACCGAGAGCTTTGAGCTGGTCCTGCGTATGCCGGTGAACGGCATCCTGGGAGAACCTGGAAAGGCCACAGTCTTCATCAATGACTCAGTATCTGACTGTAAGTGATTGAATTAGCATGAGCCCCAGGGGATAGACCACGCTGAATTTGATGATAACGTGGCTTTTCCTCTAGCTCTAGCAGGTTAACTTTTTGCTTTTAGTGGAATGTCTTGATAATTACTGGAGGAATTGCCATGAAATTTGATATCCACGGTGCCCAGAAGATGAATCCCAAAGAGTTTGATGATCCTTTAATCTTTTTTCTTGGCTGCCACCAGCACTTTTCACTTATCCTGTGAAATATATTAGTATCTACTCAGGGCACCGACACAAAATATTGTACAGATATTCACATACCCCTTATCAGGATGAATTGTAATGACTTTGGTGATCTTTGACTTCTTATCTTGTACCATCATCTGATCAAAATTAAAATTTGCCCAAGACTTGGGTTAATTATATTCCCATCAACTTCATCTGTTGGCTCGCTAAATTAACACGTTGAGCATTTTATAGCAGGATACCGACGTGACATGTTACCTATATACAGCCCCATGTTTTTTCTGTCCAATATGTGCATGTCTTTGTGTAAGATGTGAAGTGTAAAGTTAATTATTATTGCATATTATATATGATAGTGTTTTTTAAAAAACACATGAAAGCCTTGAGAGGTACGAATGCCTCAGAGACATGTTTTTCAAGCTTGTCATGAAAACTCCTTTGCACTTCTTCATAAAACGCAACCTAACAATTAATTTGTCACTTTTCTTTTACTGTGTTTTCATAGTTCGCCGCCTTCATTACCGACGTGTAGTCAGAAAAAAGCTTGTTTTGACAGCCGTGCTATTTGATTTGCTTTTTCACGTCAGACTATCCGGGATGAAAGAAATTATCCCTGCCATTTGTCACATCTGATGACTGAACTGTCCTTTTGACTAACAGTGCCGAAGGTCCAGTTCCGCGAGCCGCTGTACACCGGAGAGGAGAGTGACGGTCAGATCACAGCAATGGTGTACCGCAGTGGCGACATCAGACACCAGTCCTCTGTTCGCTGTTTCACCCGTCAGGGCTCTGCACAGGTCGCCTCCGACTTTGATGAGCGACCCAACACGGATGCGTCTGTCATCAGTTTTTTACCAGGTACTTCAGTAATCACACATGTTTCCTCTCAGTTTTTTCAAATGTGTCTTGCGCTGTGAGAGATGGCACCTTTTCAATTAAATAAACAGCTCCTCTGGGGATTTTTTTTGTCACACGTTTTGTGCACACATCACCTACGGCGTTGTCACTTTCTGCATTTTTTTTCTCTTTTTTTTTTTTCTTTCTTTCTACAAAACATGTGAAAACAGCTCCCTGAAAAGAAAAACAGGGGAAATAGTTATATAAATAGTTGTATAAATAAGATATTACATGCTGTAGAAATGAAAGAACTATTGTAGAACGTATTCTATCCTTTCTTCGACCTCAAATTTTTTGACATGTCCTGTCAACCGTATTCCTGCACACTCCAGGCGAAGCGGAGAAGCCGTGTATTCTTTCACTCGTTGATGATACGCTGTACGAGGAAGGAGAGGAGCTGCGTCTGGTCTTGGGGAACCCGAAGAGCAACTCACAGTTTGGCGCATCAGTGGGAGCTTTGAATGAGACTCTGTTGAAAATCAAGGACACAGCAGACAGTAAGTGACATGAAGACGGGGAGGAGGAGTAGGAGGTGGGGGAAAGTCTGGAATTAAATATGTAGCGAAATAAAAAAAGTAGTTCATCAGTAATTTAACAGCTCAGGCTGTAAATGCAAACTGAACATATACTGTCTGTTTTAATTTAGAATCATTACTACCAATGATTGATGATTATATTATATTTTTATCCTTTTTCTGTGCACCTCAGAGCCCATCATTCGCTTTTTGGAAACCAAGTTCAGTGTCAGTGAACCGAAGGATGCTGGCGCCGTGGCAACTGTGAGGATCCCCGTGGTACGAGTGGGTGACACATCAAGAGTGTCGCTGGTGCGCGTTCACACTAAAGATGGGTCAGCAGTCTCAGGAGAGGACTACTACCCCGTGTCTCAGGGTAAATCTCACACGTATACTCATATGGCGTGTTGATAGTAAAAATCCCAAGTGAATACGAGAGCCGAATCGCAGTGCAGACTTTTCATGTGAAGCGTTGTGTTTAAATAAAATAATGGAAACTACTGGAGCATTGTTTGCGTAAGTAAAAACCGCTGTTGTCATCCTTTAACATGCTAAGAAATGCTTACACCATAAAACAAGCCTTCCATGTTGCATCTACTTCCTGTCTTCCCCGCTCTTCTCGTGGCACATCACTGTTATTAAAACATATGATGCAAAAACAACAGGGACCTACTGATCAATACATTACTCTACCACTCCACTAGTGGTCAAAGCTTCACAAGATACATTACTTTTCTTTCACCAGCCTGCAGGTGTCCTCCTCATTGATTTCCATTATGCATTTGCAGCAGCTAATAAGAAAAAGTTTTGACAAGTGTGAAACAAGGCTCCCTATAGGAATATGAAAGTAATGAAAGTGGGCATAGGGGTTTATTTGGGCAAGGGTCATTAATTTCTAATTTCATCCCAAATGGGGAAAAGGTAATTTCTGCAATAGTCCAGTGGATGGTCATGTAATTTTTAATAGAATTTCTGTATTCTTCATGCTTTGTCAGCAGGGTGAAATCTTCCGTTCTATCCGTTCGGCTTTTAGTGCAGTGAACCTCTCTTAGTTTAATCAAGGCTTGAAATATTTATATGAATACATTGAGTCCATTCAAATCATACCTGCCTACCCACCGTTCAAATTTCCCAGCAGTTTTGAGCCATACGGCGGTGAATTTCTCATTTTGCACAATATTTTCTCACTGCAGCACATTTCTAATGCAAAGCTCTATTACTTACTTCTCAAGGAGATGGACCACCTTTGGCACTATGCAAATAGAAACCTGCAATGCTTCTTAGCTAAGTGATATATTCCTCTGAAGCAATACAACGCGAATTGGGATAATCTGCAAGGCCTTTTCATTTTCTGTGAAAATCTGAATTCAGCAATAAAAAAAAAAAGTAGAGAGAAACTCAGCCTTGATGTCACCTTTATTGCCACAAAAACGTCTGCAGCCGATGCTTTGCACTTGTTGTAATAATGATCTGTTTGTGCTGTATTGTGTGCTGTATCTACTAGTTAATGAGCTACATTTAAAACTGCTTCCCTTGGTGTTTGTGTGCATCTCTGTTTTTGTGTGTGCCCAGACGTTGAGTTCAAACAGGGGGATAAGCAGCATGTGGTGGAGGTGGAGGTGCTATTTGATGGAGTCAGAGAGATGAGGGAAGCGTTTACTCTCCATCTCAAGCCTGATGAAAACATGGTGGCTGAAACTCAGGTCAGAAATGTGCTTAACAATCACACCACAAACACACAAAATCCAGGCTGACTGCAATGTTTTTTTCCGCTTGATGAAAAAAGTAAAAAGATGAAAAAAACAACAAAAAAAAACATTATTTTTCTTGATTTGACCCATATTTATCAAGATCTCTTTTACAAGGGTGTCCTGGCCCAGTCAACAGTAGCACTTTTACTATAGTTGCAGCCAAAAGCGCAGTGAAAACATTTCACAATAAATAATAGATTATCTTGGAAAGAAAAGAACAGTGAGCAGAAGTAAAAGAGGCAAAGAGGGAGAGAAATAAGAGAGGAGTTCAAAGAGACGCTGGGAACGAGCCACAACACATCCATTGGTAGTAATTCATGCTGTCTTGACTCACAAACATCTCTGTGTCAGTGTTTTCATCAGCCCTAAAGATCTTTTGTTTTTCTGGAACTAGGTGACTAAAGTGATAGTTTACATCGAGGAGACCAACAGCATGGCTGATGTCACCTTCCCCTCGCTGCCTCACGTGGTGTCACTGTTCCATTACGATGATGTCGCCCGGACACAAGAAAACCTCCACCCACCAGCCGGATACCCAGTCATCTGTGTCACAGTGAGTCAAGCTGATATTCAGGGAAGCGAGTGGCTTTGGAGATATCTTTGGAGCTGAATTGCTCATCCAAAAAAAGAAAAAAGAAAAAGAAAAAGTTAAGGGAAACTAACATAACAGTTAAACTTTATCCCTTTAATAAAGGTAGCAAGACTTAATCAGGACCCACCTCCTCCGCAGGTGGATTTGTTTGCCCTCAGGAGCCGTACTTTTCCTTAGCCAAAGTTAAACTGTCCTCCAGGAGTCGGCAAAACTTGTCCTTAAAAGACACATTACACAGTTTAGTTGGCTGCAGTCCTCATACGCAGGAGAATCACTTCCACTCTTGAAAAACATGCTCAGGGAGACACTTTAATGGATTCTCATCATGTGTTAAGTCATTTGCTCCTCAGGTGGCTGCTGCGCGTTGCCGACACCGTGTGTGTTTGTATGTGTGTTAGACAGTGACTGTGTGTTTATTTCTCTGCATTGTGGTCAGCTGCGTAGGAGGATCCCTGGAGAGACACAATGAAGTAGTCTTGTCAAAATTGAAGTGTTGAGTGCTGCACCAGGGGGCTCAATGTCAACAGGTTTAAAAGAAAAATCCCCAGAAACTCTGCAAAAGCTCAGCCCGCCACACAACAGCTCTCACTTTCTAATTATATAAAAAAAAAAAAAACAGCTTTTAAAGGGCTCAAATAAGGAAGCATAGCACACTGAAACATCTGGATTTCCTTGGCAACAGTCATTTACTTGTTTTTATTCTCTTCCTCCATCTCCCTGTCTGTCTGTCCTCGGGCATCTGCTGTTATCTTTCCCATCTCTCTGCTGTCCCTGCCTAACCCACCCACTCCTGCTAAATTGCTTATCCATCCTGCAGGCTTGCAACACAAAATACCCGGACTATGACAAGACGGGCTCTATCTGTGTCAGCGAGCACATCAACAACACCTTGACCCGCTACCGCTGGCTCATCAGCGCCCCAGCTGGCCCCGATGGCGTCACCAGTCCCATGAGGGAGGTGGACTTTGACACGTTCTTTACGTCCTCCAAGATGATCACATTGGACTCGGTCTACTTCCAAGCAGGCTCCAGGGTCCAGTGCGCCGCTAGGGCTGTTAATTCTAACGGGGATGAGGGTTTAGAGCTCAGCAGCCCCATTGTCACAGTCAGCCAGGAGGAAGGTGAGAACCAAACAATGAATGAATCTATGTCTTGTGTGGGTTTAGGAGAAAAAATCAACATGGATTTGGCACCATGTTGCAGTGAGAAAAGAGCTTTGTTCTCCACGTGTCATGAGTGTTCAGGAACAGTGCTTTTGAATGCAAACCAACTCTACAGTACAAGCATATAAAAGACAATAACTTTTTTTATTGATTGTACAGCTTTTGTTTTATGTCTGTCTTCCGGCTTGTTAAGAATTCTAAAAGTGCTGGAGAAGTAGAAGTAACAATGCCATAATGTAGAAACACCAGTAAAAGGCCTGTAATAAAATATTATTAGCATTTTTTTTTTATTGGTACTGATGTAGTTGAATTTAATTGTAGCTGGTCTTCGTGGATTCTGTAACCATGGATCACATTTTATAAGACAGAGCAAATTCTACTATTTTAATTGCTTCCAACAGCCCCACTAGACCTTAATCCAATGCTGCCACTACAACATATGTGCTAAGAATGGGTCAGAGCTCTCATTCTCTTCTCAAATGGGAAAAAAAAAACTCTCCTTTGCTGTTGCTATGATATCACTTATGCTGCGCTCATTCCACCTACACATCCTGAATGCAACAAGTTCAGACTCGCTCTCTCAGGGTGGTCACAAAGTATTCTTGGAAACATGGAAATCACTGCCCGACTCAGTAATAGTTCAAGCAGGTTATGAGCAAAAGATGGATTTAACAGTGTATGGCAGTGTATGTAGAAACAGCTAAAGATGGACTTGCATAAGTAATCAGCTGTAAATGCAGTCCTCCTACATTTCACTCTCCACCCTTGTGTTTAAAACCTCTCTTCTCCGCTCTGCTGTCACATGAAGGTATGTGTCAACCACGTAAGATGGGGACTGTTGGTGCTGAGCCGTTCTCTGCCAAGCTACGCTACACTGGAGCAGACGACCCGAAACACCCCAACCTCATCAAAGTGACTGTCACCATGCCTCACATAGACGGTAGGTAGGAGCTGGAGGCAGGACTCATACCACAGATGAAGTGAAGTGTAATGTACTGTGTGTAATATTCACGTCTGGGGATCCTCAGGAGTGTGACAGCCAGAATATAGATCTCGCCAGGTTGTATCGAATCCCACCGTAGAAAACCCTCCAGCACACCCGCTACTTAGCATTCCCTTCTTGATTTTTAATCAGTTTCCTTCTGCTTCATCTCTTCCAGGTCTTCCTTTTTCCTCTGTTGTCCCTCCCCCTCTTTTCTTTTCATCACTTTCCTCTCCCTCCCTCTTCCCTCAACTTAACTCTTCCACTCTGCATTTTTTTAAATAGTAATGTCTCTCGAATCTAACTTTGCCGGACACGCTCAGAATCGTCTCTGTTTTCCTCGCAGGTATGCTCCCGGTAATCTCCACTCGCCCTCTCATGAACTTTGAACTGACTCTCAGTCCCGACGGGACCCGGGTGGGAAACCATCGCTGCTCCAACTTGCTCGACTACAACGAGGTCACCACAGGTCACGGCTTCATCACCGCCTCGACACGCAGCCCTGAGAGCATGGGAGACTCGGCACCGTATCAGTTCAGCGGGCCTCTGCGGGGAAACAGCACACTGCGCTTCTACAGGAACCTCAACCTGGAAGCGTGTCTCTGGGAGTTTACCAGCTTCTACCACATGTCTGAGCTGCTCACTGACTGCGGAGGAACCATAGGCACTGATGGACAGGTGTGTGTATGTGTGTGTTTGTCTGTGTCTTTGTCCACAACGTATAAATTCCAATCTAGGGTTTGTATGTACATCTGTTTGACTGTTAGCCTTTGTGTGTGTGTTTTGCGTCCACCTGTGTGCGTTCCCGTCTGTATGTTCAGTTTATTTACGGCCTCCCAACGGACGCGCAGACAGAACGGCACCGTATTTGTTTGCCTGCATTTTACGTCTCATTCACCGCGTGTTTGCGCGCGTGTTTGCCAGCTCCGTACATCAGCGTGTGATTGATAGCTTTTAGTGTGAAAGTACACACATGGAAGCACACACGCTCAAACAAAGCACCGCCAACCCGCCAGTCATTCCCCTAATTCTCACCGCTGCTATCAATAAGGAGCATTACAGCTTAGATTCACATGAAATTCGGGAAAAATCATGAAAAGAAAACAACTTTATTTGGAGTCATCTTGACAAGCAGAATCTAAGTTTCTTGGGTTTTTCTTTTGCATCACTATTGAGCTCACCAGAGAAGACACTGCTGTTAAATTTTGGCATTATGTCCAGCTGTCAGTTAGCCGCTAACAAACTTCCAGCCACTGTTTGCCGCTGTTGCATCATTGCAGCAGATGTTGCAATTGTTATGTTACAGAGCTGCAGTATTCTCCTACTTTTCTCGTTGTTATTGTGGATCAGGAGACAGACCCTTGCTCCCTTGCTCATGTCCTGCTGCTCTTTTGTGCTCCTCCAGCCTTTGATCTATGAGCTTCTTCTTGCTGATCAGACTGCTGAATGTGTTCTTTTTTTTTTCCTCCTGTGTCTGTATGAGAGAGAAGGAGATGACGAGGAAGTAAAAAAAAAAAGAATTTACTTGTCCCGAGTCACAGCAAGAAGCTGCTTGCACACATTAGTTACACATGATCCCCGTCATCCACAAGACCTCAAGTCCTCTTCATTAAGGGAAATCTCTGTCACAGTGTCACTTGGGTCATATATTTTTCATTATTCTAAGAAGTGCTGGAAGAAAAAGAAGAAGAAGAAGAGGAAAAGAAGCAGTCGCTACCTTGCAGCTCCGCCAGGGCGCACAAATCATCTAGCACAGAAATAATTAAATAACTCAGCTGCCTCTGAAGAGCAAAATATTAAATTGTTTTAGAAAAAAAGGTTAAAAACTAACTGTAAATTTGGGGTTTAATGATCTTGATAAGTGTTTTGTTCTTGCTTTTTCATGACAGCTTTGAATTTCTTTGAGTTGTTTTTCTTTGTCTGGGAGATCGTGATATTTTAAGACAGTGAAAAAAACATTTTCTTACCATTTTGAGTGTCAGTGAGTCAACATCTCAATTTTTTCTGTTAGTATAGATTTATTGTAGGAGGTTGTTGCAGTAAAATTACTGTATAAACCTAAGACAAAGGTAGCTGTCAGCTGACATTGCAGCTCTGATTCAGTTTTTACACAAGTTAGCCTACACAGACACTGTGGTGCACTGTACTAGACTGGGACATCCTCTGTCTGCAAAGATATTATAAGAAACTCTTAATATCATGATCCTTGTTTTCAAATGCAATTTCAGAAATATGAATGGATGTTAAAATATGTACGTTCACAAGCGATGAGGAAAAGGGCTGATCAGAAAAGGAAGAGGAATAAAAGGATTAGGAATCACATTTATTTTTTTGTACTGAAATTATCTTCTGCCAGATTGCTTTTCTCAGTTTCTCTTCCCAGTTAATCTCCGTCTCATTATTCGTTTTGGCAATTGACGGAGCAAAGTGACACGCTTTCACTCGAAGTCAAACAAAGATAATTTTGTGCAATTTCAATCGCTTTCCAAGAAAAACTCTGGCTTTGTCAAACGTGTGTGTAGACATACTGCAGTTCAAGTCTGCGAAGTCAGTCAAAGTTGTTGAAACAACGTTGGGGAGCAGAGACACCTAGTGGTGGGGTTTATGCAACTACACCTTAGAGTTCTTAACATGAACCTTTTCTAAAGAAAGTGTTTAGTAAAATTGTAAAAGTGATGTTTTTCCAGCAAAAGAAAAAACATTTTCAGAAAGTTGTGGAATAGATTAGTTATACTGAAGGGATTACATGTTTACCACCAATACCCAGATAACAGGTGCATTAACATCCCACATATGCACTTCGACGCTATGTCAGATGCCTCTTCTGGCCTTAAATCACCAGCTTGGTTGCATCTCTCATTTCAGACAACTACAGATTTATTGATAACTGGCTGGATGAACAACTTAATGTATGTATATTCTGCAAGTGTTCAGGAAATGTGGATGCATCTTTGAAAATCTGAAATCATTGCAAAAGTCTCTCCCGGTTTCAAGAGGCAACCTCAAGCCTCCATATGTTCTGTTTCATTATATAAAAAACAAAGCACACCCAATTTCACTTTAGTTTTATTTAATTAATATCTCCGTACCTTAAATCATGTCAACTCAATGATTTGTAGTTAATTTAGAGTTCAAGAAGAGGTCTCTTACCTCAGTGACGCGACAGGTTCAAGTTGTGTGTTGGGATGAGATCAACAAAATCAGGAGCTTTGGTCCGATTTTAGAGTTCAGGTTTTATTATTAGAATTGACACAGGAAACAACATTATACAAAAATCTTTCAAAAACAAAAACAAAATATAAGACAACAGGGTCAACAACAACCTTCTCTCTTCAAGCCAATCCACAAAAAGCCAACAAAGTCCCTTCTTTGTTCTGCATGTGTGTTCATTTTATACCAGCAGAACTGAAAAAAAAAAAGATTGGTTACATTGTCATCTATGTCAAACCCAGAACACGTGAATAGATAAATAAATTGCTAAGGAAGCTGCTTTTTTTTTTTTTTTTTTTTTTTTATGGCATTTCCCAATTACTACAGACACAGAGCAATATCTTGATAATATTTTTTCCTTTTTTTTAAGCAATATATATGCAGGGTAGAAAATAAGATGTACTTATTTCCACACCAAAGCAAGTGATTGCATTAATTAAAATTACTAAAACCAACATTTGAATTATTCGTCCAGCGATATAATCTGAGAGTCAGCATAATAATTCTAATAAATTGTTTACTCTTGGTGATCAGTCAAGAGTGTTTATAAGTTAAGGGAATTAACGTAGAGCTCAGGTAACTAAAGATCAGATACGTAAAGTGGCTGAAAGTAAGATATAGAAAACACAGGAAACAACTATATACACACACAACATTTATTACTAACTAAAACAAACAAACAAATAACAACAACAAACATAAAATATAAAATACAAACAATGATGGAAATGCTGGTTGAGAATATGAGTGTGAAAAACCTAATGTGGAACAGAGTGGTGGCTTGGAGACTTAAAAGTCTTTTCACCCGAAGCAGCAGATAATCTGTTAAATTTGGAATATTGGTTGAAAGGCCAGTTGTAATCATGAAACACCCGTTTAGAGATGAAAGCTCAATACTTGCAGCGTCCTTGGATTTGGATGCAGATGCAGTGACGTCTGATGTCTGATGGAGAGACGAGGAATCAGCTCCTGAGCTGGAGATCAGGGTGTGGCAGTCAAAGTTGAGAACACGAAAGACCAACTGATCAGCTCTACTGCAGTTAGAGAATGCCGCCGCTTTTCGGGTGAAGAGGCCTTTAATAGTAAACTAACAGGCCAATCCCAGAGGGCTCCCCTCCCAGAGGGGCTGTTAGATATGACATCCCTATGTCATGGGGGGGTCAGGAAGTAGTCATGAGATGGTCAGGAGTTCTGTTCTGCTCTGAAAGTAACAATGTTACTATAGAACTATATGTACTTGTAATTATATAAAGGCAAGCTTGTTGGAAATGAACATGTGTCACGTCCAGTGCATCACGAGGTGTCTTACACGAGCTAGTTATCTATTATGGGTACAGAAATATTACAATGCTTAGGATGTAGGATTATATGCCAGGCTGATAAATTAAAGAAGGGTTAATATAATTGTAATTGTGTTTTGGAGTATTTATCAGAATATGATATACCATAACATTTAACAATTAAACTTCACATAGGATAATAAGGCACATCCCCTGGTACTGTGTCTTCACTGTTCATTCATCATATGCAGTTGTTAAGTTCAGTTGTTGCATGCCACAGGAAATGAGGGGTCAGTGGAGCAATACATTACACCCGGCCATCGGTTAAGGTTTGCGTGGTTGAATGTTTTTCTTGTCTTTCCCAAAAGCTTCCTTGTGTTACGATCCTCTGCAGCTCTGATAGGTGTGATAAAAGTGGGCTCTGCTTGTCCTGGCTTTGGCTTCCCCGAGTCTACAAAGCTGATTTACATGACCCTGTGACCTGCAGGACAGTTCTGTCTTTTATAACATGTGACTGTGAGCGAGAAAGTTCAAATGAAGTCTCTTGAATCTGTGTCTGTCCCACATATACTACATTTTGCTCAAACATAATGGCAGAGGTCATAGGTTTTCTATTGTTGATCATCACTGGCAGTTTTTACAGGATGTCCATCAAAGTCAGAACATTAACGATAATAAAGGATGCACCTGTGGGACGGGTGCTGCACTGTGGGGTTACAGGGGTGAGCTGCTAGCAGTCAGAGGTGTACAAAAAGAGAACATTGCCACAGTTTTATAGTATTCATCATTTTGAGTCCAGTTCAGTGCAAATGATCAAAAATAGGACTCTCGGCCGCATCATATCACACACATATCTCTCAGCTACATGTGTGCCTCATTAATGGTCAGCATAAAAGTTTTTAAATTCTTTGAAAACTTGTTTTGAAAAATAAAATAGAAAACGACTATACAGGCCCACATCACTGCCCACCATGTACAACACAGCAAGACTTTTCTGCATCTTTGACAATACTGAGTAGGAGTGAAAGAGTTCAAACACCTTGTGGAGGAGAACATTGTGTTCATCTGTTACATCTTCTCTGCACTTATTATAGCTTTTTGACCTACAATAACCCCTTACTCTAAAAGGATAATGCAGAGTCATTTTTTCGTGCACGCCGAGGATTTCATGCTTTTAGCTTTAACCAACTATCAAACAAAATAAGGGGCATTTTGTTTTTTTTATTTTAACTTTATTTTACCAGGTAAAAATGTTAGAGAACCATTTGCAAACATGACCTGGCCAAAAGGTGCCAGCAGGAACAAGTACACATGTCAATTACAGACACAAACAGACACATAAACATAACATAGAACAAAGGTAAACAAGTAAGAAGCATGTGAGCACATGTATGAGTAGGAAAAGATGTGCATGAGGTGTAAGAAAGTGTGTGTTTATATAGAAGTATGTGTGTAAGTAAAGTCTGGCATGATCAGCAGGAGTAACAGTCAACTACAATCTGTTGGATTTTAAGCTTGAAGGTGGTGAGTGGAGTCAAAGTTCAAGTTTGAGGGTGTTTTGTAAGGTGTGATGAAGGAAAGACACGCACATCGAAAGCGAAAGGAGTTATAGCCAAAAATAAGAGAAGTGTTGGGGATGGTGAGCTTGATGTATTCACTAGACCTAGTACGATAAGAATTATGGGCAACGAGAAGAAGAGAGGACAGGTGGGGAGGTGTCTTGCCCAGAGTTGACTTCCCTTATATCCCTTGTCAGTATAGAATTTTACCATTTTTTACCACCAAACGCACACTCAGATGATCAGTTTTTGAACGCATGTTGAAAACACCAGTTTGTTTACTCACCACTGACTGAAACATCTTTGCAGGTGCTGAACCTGGTCCAGTCCTACGTGACCCTGCGGGTGCCTCTTTATGTCTCGTACGTGTTCCACTCCCCCGTTGGCACCGGCGGCTGGCAGCACTTTGACCTGCAGTCCGAGCTGCGCCTCACTTTTGTGTACGACACGGCTATTCTGTGGAAGGACGGCATCGGCAGCCCCCCGCAGGCAGAGCTGCAGGGTAAGTCCCAAGGACAGGAAGATGATTGTAGTTTATGGTTCTCGACACAAGACTGTCTGAAACAAGAGCAGATCTTGTAGAGTCTAGAGTGCATGTGTGTGTGTTTTTTCCAGGTGCGTTGTACCCCACGAGCATGCGCATCAATGACCAGGGGCGTTTGGTGGTAAACTTCCGCACCAAGGCTCATTTCAGGGGTCTGTTTGTGGAGTCTCATTCTTCAGGAAGAATAAAAAGAGCCGGTGAGACTGACTTTAGTGTTCCTTGAAAATGTCACCAGCACTGAGGATATAGTGATTTTTATCTCAGTCCTCCTTATTACCTCTTCCTCTCGAAAAATCCCCAGCAACCTCCATGTCATCCATGGTGATGAGTGTGGACCACCCAGGCCTGACCTTTAACCTCACCTTAGTGAGGAGTGAGCCCACCTACAATCAACCAGTCCAGCAGTGGACCTTCACCTCTGACTTTGCAGTAAGATTGCACTCAATTTTCTTGTGCCCTGATGCGTGACCTGTGACATCCACTGTGTAAATCCGTGCGGCTGGAAAGGTCGTAGATTGACTTCTTTTTTTTTTTTCATCTGTCCCTTTTGCTGCCTAGGTAAGAGACTACTCTGGGACCTACACAGTGAAGCTGATCCCCTGTACAACAGCACAGAATATGGAATACACTGTTCCACCTGTCTGCAGCCCCAGAGAACCAGTTACTTTTGACCTAGACATCAGATTCCAGCAAGTAAGGCGGTCTTATTTTAGACTCTTCAGTCCAAAAATGGAATATTTCTTTATTCTAAGTAGATTTTCTTTCTTTCTGTGTCCGTCATGAGCAAGGCACAGGACCAACCCACCATAACAAATTCCTTGTATTGTGTAAACTATACCTGGCAATACATCTGTTTCTGATTCTGATTCTGTCACCGTCTATCTGTCTGCTTTCATTATACTATCACTAACTGCTGACTATCTGCATGCCTCTTTAGGTGAGTGACCCAGTTGCAGTGGAATTCAGTTTGAACACTCAGATGTTCTTGCTGTCCAAGAGGAGCCTTTGGCTTTCTGATGGATCCATGGGTTTTGGTCAAGAGAGCGACGTAGCCTTTTCTGAGGGTAAGCTTTACAAGGTCTAAAGACTTCTAGAATCTGAAGATTTAAAGGACTATACTAGTAGTTGTAGAATCCACAGGAGGCAATTGCTTTCCATTGTTTGCATCAGTTTTGCAAGGCCACATTTTTAGATAGATTTCTTTATGTTTCAAGCAGACATTAGGTTGCGCCCATGTCAGTATGATCCATGCTTTGCTTGACAAATTGTAATGTATCACAGTTACAATTACATTATTTTTGCACTTTGTTAACGTTATTAAACTTTAAATATTGTTGGATTATTGGATATGGATTTAAAGGATCTGACATATGAGATTGAGAAGAAAAAAAACACTGGCTTTAGAGCTATGCTATCTACTATCAAACCTGGAAGACAAATATTAACATTTTGGAAATGATGATGAAGTGAATCTGGCTCTTTAATGCGTTTTAATCTTGCTTTCTGGTTGCTTATCATGGAATAAACAAGTGGTTACTTGGAAGGTAGAAAATACAAACATAGGACATTAGTTGGCAGCAAAGTATACAGATTTGTAGTTTATTGGCTAAACAACTGTAAACAAAGAGCATTTGCGAATAAGATTTTAGGATTCAGGCTCCACATCCTCGTCTCTCATTTTAGGTGATACAGTATATGGTCGCGTCATGGTCGACCCTGTGCAGAACCTGGGAGATTCTTTCTTCTGCAGCATAGAGAAGGTGTTCCTCTGCACTGGTGCTGATGGATATGTGCCCAAGTACAACCCGACCAAGTTCGAATTTGGCTGCCTGGCTGACTCCCCATCATTGCTTTATCGATTTAAGATTCTTGTGAGTATATTCAGGCAACTTTGGTATGCAAACATATGCCAAACAGTATTTAGCAATCAATATTTTACCTCCTTCTTTTTTTTTTACTCTTCAATCTAAAACACCCATCCAGGACAAGGCCCAGCCAGAGACTCAGGCACGTGTGTTTGGCGACGTCAGTTTTAATGCTGTGCTGGCAGTGGATGACCCATCAGCCATGTCCCTCGTCAGACAACCAGGATCTGATGGCTTCAGACTGGACTCTACAGCCATGTTCCAGGTATCCTGTGGCTTACTGTTTCTTATGGCCAATGACTGATCTTTATTTATGCTAATCTTTAGATTTACTCTGCTGCTTTGGCTATTTTGCTCTAAAATGTATAAAACTTAAACTAGTTTGACTGTGCATGTGTTATTGGAGGATACAGTTGAGAAACCAGGCAGCTTTGCAGGAATATAAAGGGATTGTAGAGGTTATAATGTAGGCTTTGTCACATAACGCTTGTACTGTGTGTTTTGTCTGGACTGGCATAATGTTTCATGCTGCGTTGTGTTGTTTATTTAATGTTAGTAGATCACCATTAGTGATCGTAGGATACTAAGGATGCTTTTGCCAGAATCTAATAATAAATCAAGCTCCTGCCAGCAGAGTCCAGTTCATGGAAAATTGCTATGGATAATTGCAACTGCAGTTTTATTTTGGATAATTAAGCTATACTGTTTCTATTCTGTGATGTGCTAAATTTCAGTTTTTGTTTCTGTTGTGTTGTTTTATGTCAAACACACATTTAAAATATGCCGAATTCTTGCCCTCCTCAGGTTGCTGCAGGCAGAGAATGGTACATCCACACCATCTACACAGTTCGCTCCAAAGAGAACGCCAACAGAGGCATTGGAAAGCGCAGCCTCGAGTACCATTCCTTGGCTTCCACAGGCAACGAGCTCGCCTTGACCCCAAAAGGCCATCGCTGGAGGAGGTCAGCCGGCGATGACATCCCAGTAGTCGCCGAAGATATCGGAGCAGACAACAACCGCGGCACCAACATTATGCACATCGCCCTGGACCGAACCAAGCGTAGGTCGGTTGGGTCGAACGAGCTTTTTACTGAAGGGCTGGAACCTAGTGAGCTGAACACAGAGGAGGAAGAGGAGGGTCTGGTGACCGTGGTGGGGGCACTGGTGGGACTGTTGCTGACTGTCCTCATCACTGTCACCATCATACTGGTGCTGAGATCCAGACAGAAGGATGGGAAGGAGGGCTGGAGGGAGGGGGTGCAGGAGGTGGTCAAAGGGTCTGTCAGTACGGAGCCCATGTTGGTGGTGAGGATGCAAGACTGCCACAACAGCTCAGAGGTCTGAGCAGCTGAATGCGTGGATGGACAGACTGACTATGGGATGTAGGGAGTATGTGGGGGCTTTTATAATTTTTTTGGATTTTCTTTTAAAAAAAAACAAACAAAAAAAAATGGTATTGAATTACTTTCACAACACCAAAAATAGAGATGCGTTTTTTTGGTGTGCCTGTTAATGGGGGAGATTTCTACGATGTTGAATCCATGACATACCTTGATCACAGCAACAGCGAACAGCACAGCAGTCCTATTTGCTGATTTTCATTTAACATGCCAACTTGTGCTGATAGTAGCATGGTTTTCCTTGTCTCTCTTACTGGCTTTATGGTGTTAAAGTGCCTGAAGCAACTGTATCCCTTCAGGACAGTCCCACTCACCAAGAGAACGCTATTCGCAGAGCAGGTGTCAGGCCACGTTGAAGATGTAGTGCCGCAGGTGTACCTCTGGCAAAGGTTTATCCTTTTTAGTATTCATACTGAAAAAGGAACAGTTCACCTCAAAAAGAAGATGTTATTGACCTGCCTCCATGCTGGTCAAAATTTCATTGAAGTTCATGAGCCCTAGTACTTAATTGTGTGCAACATGTTTATCTTTTTAGTATTAGAAGCTTAACGGTTGCATTATGGATGCAAAATTTCAGTATCTGTTCTACCATCTCACTTACTGTCCTTAAAGTTATTATAAACTCTATCTATTGGCTGAGAATATGATTGTTGGAAAAAAGGTAAACACTGGACTTTTGATTTTTTTTTAAAAATGGACCTGTAGCCTCAGTGTTTGGCTTCAGAACATTTATAATGAATCAATGCTGCATTAGCACATTAATGTTCATTCTGGGGTGAACTGTGCCTTTAAAATTATGTCATCAAATAGTTGCTGAGACGGGACATTCTGGATTACACAATGAGCAAAGAAAATACACTGACACTTGTTTCTTGTCTGTGAACTAAACCCTGCAGAACTCCAGGAGGTGACTACCACTACTGACAGAATTTATGAACCAGCGAAACATTTTGTTCCTTTATCATCTCTAATGTTCTTAATTTTGTTTACCATATGATGAGGAATGTTTTCCTAGACGTATTAAGCATTTCTATTGCTGCTGAGTTGGGTTGTTCATGTTTTGTTTTTGTTTTTTTTATATATATTTTTTAACTCTTTATTTACTCTGCTGTGTGTTTTACAGTTCATCACTGCTTCGAGTGCCACAATGTTTACTCCATCCTCACAGTGTCATTACGCCACGATGTGTTTCTGTGACATATTTATTAAAAGTAGGGCATAATGTTTTTGTTTTTTTAAAGAAATCACACTGGTTACAACGTATGTATGTACAAAGACACTCATCTCAGGAGTTATTTCTTTTACAGAGAATGGACTGTGTGTTGTAACACAATTTACTACTGTTGACTGAAGAGAATCTCTACAGAGCCACTTTCAACTCCTCTGTTACACTGCTAATAAGTGTGGTGCTGTGAACATGCAAATACTGTATCCATATCCCATGACCCCTGTTCTTCTCACATTATGTTCCTCTAAGCTTTATTTGTCACTAGTGCTGTGTGGGATTTCAGTGTTCTGACTCATGATTTTTTTTTTTTTCCCCCGAACAAACAATGCAAACAAAATAGCTGCTTACAGATCAGTATGTCACCATGAAAACTATCACATTTGATATAATCTCATTTCTTTGTTGATGTCGCTGGTGAAATTTCTTGTTTATATGTATTGTTAAACTGTGTCTTACCCTGCTATGGATATACAACATGCTGAGATCAGTGTTCCTAAATAATTGTCTTATTATGGTGTTGTTAGTCATCATTGTATAATTATTTCTAATATTCATCAGGGTTAGCTGAGGTGGTGAACATGAGCTGGAAATCTGCTGAGGTGTGAATCAGGAAGGGACGTGAGGATTTATACGACTAATAACCAGCTTAAAACCTGTGGGGTTTTTTGTTTTGTTTTTGTTTGTTTTTTTTGTTTGTTTTTTGAGGGGGGGAATTATTGTTGGGTTTTTTTGTTTTTTTAGGCCCTGATGAATTTGGAAATAACACCATATCTGACATCAAATGCACTTTTTGAGTCACATCCCTCACATGCCAGTACAAGCTATGCAATGTAATGTATACCCCACAGCCAGTTATCCCCATGTATAGGACAATTTTAGCACAAACAATCAAACTTGATATTCACTTTGTGTCTTTTTATGAATGGGTTTTTAAGTATATGTATTTAAGAATAAATATTGTTTACTGGTGCCTACTGGCAGGTTATTGTTGATTTAATTTATGCAAAGATTTAGAGGTAGAGTGGAGATTCTGTAGACTTGAGTCAAAAATGAGGCCTTAACACTTTATTGGACTTGACTGCTTGGTGTTGTGGAAATCAGAGGGGTTGTTGGAGGATGAGGAGGCAGACACAGAGAGCCACAGTGGAGACTCATTATGTTGTAATAAGGTTTGCCGATATCGGGTGAAGTGACACCAACAGAGCAGCAGTTCATGCAAACAGTGCCAGCATCAATTCTGAGGATCCTCTCTTACCGTTAGGGGGCAAGATTTAGATTACAAACCAATATGGAGACAGCTCGTCTGCTCAGTGTTGTTAGAAACAGACAAAGTCTAAACTTGATTAGAGCAGAGTTCTAGCATATCTTCCTCCCACTACGGTAGTGCCTGTCTGTTGGAAAGCCGTATTAGAGCAGGATAAGACCTTAACGTGGAGACAGGGCTCAGGCATGTCAAAGTAAAAAGGAAGCAGAGACCAAAGGTAGCGACCTGCTTTAACCTACAGGACCATTTGGGGTGACGTCCGCTAACACCTGAAAGGAGATAGCTTATAAAGGAAAGGGATCATTTTTCCTTTACATCTGAGACTTTCACTTGACACATGAAAGCAAAAATCATCCAAATCTCATGTTTTTACCTGATATATGTGAATGGATAAATTAAGAAATAAATAATTTTTAAAAATAAATAAATGAATAAGACAAACTTTACAGTGCAATACAAACACCTTAATGATTTAAATATTCAGCAACACTACTGACAGGAGTTAGTATCGGCTATGTTGAAAACAGTATTTATATTTTGAGGTCAGCATCAAGAGACATGGAAAACTCACAAAATTTGCAGCCTGCTATCATTGACTTGAGATCCTAAATGTCAGGCCTAATTACGCTATAAACTGCAAACATTGTTTAATCAGTTATTCAGTTACAAAAAAAAGGTTCAGTTTAACAAAGTCTTGCTTAGACCACAGACATAAAGTCGTATATTTGTACATTATGACTCATCCAGATAAAAGCAGTTGTAAAGGTATGTAGTGTGTCTTAAAACATTGAAACTTTGTCCAAAAAAAAGAAATTAAAAAATACAGTTTTCTCCTTCAGTTATTTAAGAAACGTAAAATTGACAAGGAGGGGTGTTGGCAGAGTGCTGTATTGAAGCATATCAATGGAAAATTGACTGAAAGGGAAAACTATAGTAGGAAAAGGTGCACAAGCAGCAGGAATGACCACAGCCTTTGGAGGATTGCCAAGAAAAGTTGATTAATGAACTTAGGAGAGCTTCATAAGGACTGAAGCTGGTGTCAGTGCATCAAGAGCCACCAAGTACAGATGTGTTCAGTAAAGGGGCTAGAACTGTAGCATCGCTAATATCAAACCACTCCTGTACTAGAGACAATGTCAGAGGTCATCTTACCTGGGCTAAGGAGTAAGGGAACTGAACTGTTGCTCAGTGGTCTTTTCAGACAAAAGTAAGTTTTGCATTTCAGTTGGAAATTAAGGTCTGAGAGTTTCGAGGAAGAGTGAAGTGGTACAGAATCCAAGTTATTTGACGTTCAGTGTGAAGTTTCCGCAGTCTGTGATGATTTGGGGTGCCATGTCATCTGCTAGGGTTTGTCCACTTTGTGTTATCAAGTCCAAAATCAATGCAGGAGATTTTAGAGCACTTCATGCTTCCATCTGCTGACAAGCTTTATGAGGATGCCAGTTTTCTTTTCCAGCAGGACTCAGCACCTGCCTGCAGAGCCAAAGCTTGCAAATGGTTTGCTGACCATGGTTTTACTGTGCTTGATTGGCCAACCAACTCACCAGAACCTAAACCTCATCGAACCCCATGTGGGGTATTGTGAAGAGGAAGATGAAAGACACCTGACCTAAAAATACAGAAGAGCTAAAGGCTGCTGTCAAAGCAACCTGGGCTTCAATAGCACCTCAGCAGTGCCACATGGGATCGTGGGTCCTTCCACTCTTGCTGCATTAAACAGTGTGTGACAAACACGTATCCATTAAGTATTTCCTATTGTCAGTTTTATGCCTGTGATTGTTGAGGTGGAATGTAGGCTACATTTCTTCTTCGAGCCAAAATGTCACTGTATTGCACCTGAGTTATTTTCTTTGCTGGAAAAGTGAGCCAATAGTTGTGTTATGTTTTGATATCATGTCTTCTCAGGTGAAATGAAACCCTCAAGGAGTGAAGGCGAAAAGTCCTGTAGTATCTCTTTAACCACATCAGAAAGTAAATGGACTGGTGGCACTGATTCAACAAGACTGGTACTTACAAAGTAAAAATAACAAAGAAAAACCTCCCAAAAGCCTACACATGCTTAAAATATACGGAACAAAAATACAACTGATACAACTGAAGCATCTAATGTTTCATTAACTGTCTAGCTATCCATTTATTTTAACATAGGAGATTTCTTGTTCCAGCATATGGCATTGCTACAACAGAATAGACATCATGAAACAACCAAGTACGCACTATACTGGAAATCATCATGTTTGATGGATGGTGGGGTCATAGAGCAGAAATCATGAATCAGTCACTAGTGTTTCCACCATTTGCGTTGCATAGTGCCACACATTTGTTATGCATAGAGATTGTCAATGCTTTCTTGTTTAATGTGGTCCCACGCTTGCTGGAGAAATTGGATGGATTGATGGACAGGATCACATTGTCAGATACATCCATCCAGAACATTGTGTAGCAGACTGTC